GCCTGTGCATATTATCTGTTACAGGACTCTGACTACAAATCAGCATACAAAAAGGATGCAACGCATATTTGGCGAGTGACCGTAAATATTATGTATACACAGCACCTATTAGACATGTGCCTAATCAGACTACTAATAGGCTCACTTTGCTTGCTGATTACTCAAACCACAACAGTTTGTTGTTGGATACAAATATATTGCAGAAATGAGCTCTGAGGCTTGGTAATGGATGGCATTTTCTTTGTAATTTGCGTTGAAGCAGCCATCTGCTGCAGTTGCTCCAGGCACACTTCCATGGAAGAGAGCTAAAAGGAGAAGTAAGACTGCCACTCCAGCAGCCACACAGAACCAGCCAGCTGCTCTGAACTGTGGAGTCTCTGGAGTGGTTTCTCAAGAAAAATTTACTGATTTCTCCAAAATCAAAGAAGAGGCCCAATGAAAAGGTTTTCAAGTAGCACATGATCCCGACGTGCCACAGAAGCTCTCACAAATCCAGTGGGTTAGGTGTGTGTGTGTGTGCAGTTTGATGGAGCAGCTTTTTATGTATCCAGTTATTCTATACTGCATGTCACTGTTTTCCACTACAATGCCATGAAATTGAATCTTTCACTTGAACCGCTGTTGGTGCTAACGCTACTGTTATTCTACTATGGCGGCACCTCGTCAGTGATATTGAGGGTCTCTGCAGTGGGATTGATGAGACTGATGCGTTAGTTGGTATGCACCGGTGTGACCCGTTGAATGACTCGTAGGATACATGTGAACATGAGAGAAAACAGCAATACTTTCAGCTCCGTATATTTCCTGAAACTGACTACAGCATGCAGTCCTCTCTGATATATAACTACGTATATACATAAGCATTGTAGCTCCGCAGTAGCAAAACCGGCGGCGTGTCACACAACCATTAGGAATAAAGGGCCATCTCCCTCCACGCATCCGCTGCCAAGGTGCCAGTAGTCATTTACGACCCCGCACTTGCGCGCGCGTACCGGGCCAGCGCAGCATTACGACAAACGTTTTGGCCTATACTCGCATTCAGTAGGCTTACCGGCAGCGGCCACGTTTGTCCTCGTAGAGCTAGGGCACGCGCAATAATAAAGGCCCATCTCTGCAACGTGGCAGTCAATACACGCTAGACGGCCAAGAACAAAGCTTGGAATCTGCGCGCCTCTCTCAGTGCAGTGTACGCTGTCGCTTTCGAGCGCATGCGCACCGGATTCACGTCGTTGCGCCAGCGCTGCGCTGTGGCGATGGACAGCTCACTTAGCTACATACGTTTTCATCTACCTTCTTATAGTTATACCACTTGTGAAGGGGCCTAATCACACTGCAGCCAAATGGTGTGTGACATGGATGCTCTGTCTTCATACACTATATACATATGCCTATAAAATTCCGCACAAGCGCACAATCTGCATCACATAAAATAATTGTCCTGAAGAACCGACTGCTTGCCATACTATGTTATGTACACAAATTAATGGGAATTTAGTCTTTCTCTTTCTCCATCTCTTTAGTACATGTGTACTGCATCTTGTGACCCCCAGCCAGCCAGGGATAGAGGAGGAGGAGTCCAATCAGCAGTGGTAGGAATATCCCAACTTGAATCAACATTGACAGGTAGGTCCTCTTCTGCTGACTCTCATACACTGCATCCACTGTAGCATTTTGCATTAATTAGCTAATTAGATAGATAGAGCAAGAGATTGGTGTCTGCTTACATATAATGGGAAACACTGTTCTTGCAGATCCAGTTACTGCCATCATAGCACCTGTACTTAAGCCCTAATGGACATGGAAGCATCAGTAATTTCGATGGCACAGTGACATACACAAAGGCACCTGGAATTTATTGCTGACTGATTCAGATAGCAGTAGAAATATGCCCGTATGATACAGAGGACTGGTGGAGAGAAAGAGACTTATCCCAAACACAAACTGCACAAAGTTGAGCGTGCGACGAGTGTCTCGACAGAGTGGCTGGCAGTCACTGCAGTGTTTGCCAGTGACTGGGGAGTTTGGTATCCAGTGACAGTGTTCCCCTGCAGACTCACACCTGTTGACTGCCATCTGGTACACCTCTCTCTCCACCACCTGCAGACTCTGGACACTCACCATCCCAGACTCTGACACGTTTGACTCTGCCAGTTGCAATCTGTACTGGTCGGCCAGCTGTGGATGGTGGAGCAGACTGTACTCTGTGCAGACGTCACTGCCAATGGCCTGCCAGTCTGTCATTATCAGCAGTGATACTATGGTTGTTATCAACCCCAACACCGTCAGATTGTAAGCGCGCAACTTCAGATATTGAAGCAAAAACCTAATGAAGTTCACTGGTGTATATACTTACACTCAAAAACCATTTTATCATTCTTACAGTAGTGTTGTTCCGATGATAGGAGCAATAGAAAACAAGATGAGAAAGAACAGTGCACCATCCTTGACACAAAGTCCAAATGAATCACTGATGATAGGGTTGAGCAGTACTTCCAGTATAATGTAACGTATTCCTTTCAGGCCCCCGACAACGATCACATAGATTGGTACCTGTTTTGTATTGATCGAGGAAAAAAGCTAGCTATTCATGTAGTTAGAATAATTATGTTTGCATACTAATATCCGGCAAGAGTGGGCTTTGAAGGTCAAAGATGGGAGTTTTGTCAAACATTTGCTCCTAGTGGGTGTCCTCCAGGCGCACTCTCCATGGAAGAGAGCTAACTGGAGAATTAAGACTGTCACTCCAGCAGCCACACAGAACCAGCCAGCCGCTCTGAACTGTGGAGTCTCTGGAAACTGAGCCAAGATTGCTGGGAACCCTACATTGTGTAAAAAATTGAATTCATTTTGTTGCAAGAAGCTCATTTCTATGATTATACCTACTGCAATAATGTTGCCCACTGCATATCCGATGGCACTGGTACTGAATAGGTAGCCCTTCATTTTGGTTTCCTTCTTTTTCTCAAACTTTCCAAGGGTCTTCAGATTCTCTTTGTATTTCTCGAAGCTCACAGCATAATAGGCAAATACAAGAGAGTCTATAGCCCCTAGATGAAGACCAGCCAGGGCACGAGCCAGTATCATCATCCAGCCACTGGTGGCCAGTGCATAGAGAAGGTAGCCGAGAGTGTGACAGAGTGTAGATACCAGGAACAGGTACCAGGTGGGGATATGGTTAAAGAGGAGACCAGTAGCCACTGCAGCTATTGCATGGCTCACAAATAGTACCACATATGTTAGTGAATATAAAGTTTCCGTTTGCTCCAGCCCAGGCTCCACTTTCTAAAAGGAATATTGCAAACATCAAACTTTTGCCACATCCCTTGATAGGTACACAGTTTCTTGCTGTGTAGTTAAGACAGGGCTAAGCTACAATTTTACCTCATCAGTGATATTGAGGGTCTCTGCAGTTGGATTAATGACAAACTGATGGTTGGTTGGTGTGACGCAGACATAACTGATGGCTCTTAGGATGCATGCAAAAAACAGAAACAGCCAGTTCGTTTTCAATCTCCATATATCTTTCTCTGATGGTATGAGGACAATGATGCATGTAAGAATTAGTACCGTGTTGTAAACTGACTTGCTGATCCTCCATTCTCAGAGTCACTAGCCCAACAAGAAGCTTTGAACAAATCCATTTTTCACAAGCTCATTAGATAGCTACTGTTCAACGCTTTTTCTGTCGAATGACATTGTGCACACACAGCCTCGTTATTATAGCTAGGGCCAAGCAAGAATATGCGAAGCAAGTGTTCCAGTACGAATTTCCGTTGTTCCTTCCGCCTCGCGCGCAGCGCAGAGCGAGCCGATGCCGTTCCGCCGTCGCTGAAGTGCGCATGCGCAAAATATGTGCGCGGATTTCAGTTCTCAGCTTCCTGTTTCCTCTCTCCCCGTACTAGGAAGAACTGAGCACTCTCTCAGTGTTTTTCCGTTACTGTAGAGCCATTTCATAACCCCAGTCGAGGAAACAACACATCAAGTTCAACGGGACACAGTGGCAATCGTGCAGTCGGATTCGGAACAGTTCTTGACGCACTAGGGTTTCGAGCCTTTATGCACTTTTACCTCTCTTCTAATGTTCAACATCAGTCCAAACTGCACAGCAAAGTATAAAGTACAACTGCGCAGCAAAGTATAAACTACATTAACATGTAATGCAGTCTGCCGTCACTGTTCATTGACCAGGTATTGCAGGTGGCTGCCCACTGCCACACTAGTAGCACCATTCTCAGGGTCACTGAGGTACAGACACCCATCGCTGATGGAGAACTGTGACCTCGCTCCAATCTTGGCCTGCCCGCTGCTGTCACCTGCCACCGGGATGGAGCGGGCATCCTTCTGGTAGCGACGAAGCTCAATCTCCACATTACCTGTGGGACACACACAATCATATGAGGTATCTATGGTAGGTTGAAACATGCTCCTCGAGATACACAAGAGATTGCAAGAGATCAAGGGAGCGTCAGCAGACCAAACATTTGGAGGAGTATACTTGCTGTAGGTGATAGAACCAGAGAGAACCTCTATGCTGTAGCTAGCAACCTCTTTGCTCCTCTAAGAGTTACAGCAAACACCCTCCCATGAATATATAGTGCAACTACAGTGAAAGCTTCGAGCTCAGATTATAAAGACACTTGATTCTGTCCCATACAAAATATACTACCTTTGAATGCACATACCCAAGGTGTCCCTTATTCAGAGCTTTCACTCTATAGAACAGCAAACTCCTGACTTAGTTGGTAAAAGCAGCCTAATCATCCTCAATGGCAGTGCACAATATGCTGATTGGTGCAAAACTAAGTGTCCATTTTGCTCCAGCCCTATTGCCTACTGCTGGCATCAAAAACCACTGTAGCTAAGTATGCTACACGCACTGTACTTGGTCGTATATACCAGGTACACTTGAGGTCCTGCAGATGCGGTCTCCCACAGTGGAGGCCGTGTCGTCATGGTAGACTGGTATCGGGACGGTGAAGTAAGGAACACAGGCCTGTGGGTTGACTGCTGTCACTTGGAGCCATGGCTGAGGAGGAGAGAGAGAGAGACCGCTGACACCAATGGCTGCTGTGAACAAATGCAACTAAAGGGCATATTAAGGTAGTTGATGATACCAACCCTTTTTCTCTAACAAACGTTGCAGCATAAGAGGGCTATCAGCAGTCTATTTCTTTGGGGTGGGATATATTCAGTAAGCGTGAACTGATACATAGCAATTTAATCATAATTATAAAAGTGGTCTTGCTGTAGGCAAAGGGAACATGGCAGTACATAAGGACTAAAGTAGGAAATGTCACTATATTATTAGTTAATGGTCACCTTGTGAGCAGTCTCAGAGAAGACAGGTATGGGTTTCCCTGGTTGGCATTCCTCCCTGATCTTTGGGTCAGTCGCTTCTGCTGCATTCACTATCCACAGCTCCTTCAACTTTATAATACAATACAAGGAAATGTACACACATCGTAGTGACTGTATGGTGGTCCTGCTGTACTACTTGTACTATGGGTGATTTAGCAAGTGTGTAGAGCTATCCACTAAGTGATGAAACACATGCATGTTATCAAGGAGATTTCGGATTAGTGGCAGACGGCGCGAGCAATTAATGCCAACGATAAGTCTCTTAGCCTTGTAATGTGCATGATCTCTATATCCCCTCCCTTGCTTGCCAATAAAGTAGTCTGATTCTGATAGGCACCAATACGTACGTCAAGAGATCGTGTGAGGTAATTGAGATTCCCCAGGAGAGTTAGTTTCTCGTCAAATGACAGAGTCAGATCCAGGGCCTCAGTTCCCTTCACTGACAGAGATTGCTGGGGGACAAAGAGGCAAGAGGGACAAGTAGGTGAAAGAGTTACTGTAAAAAACCTACTCATAATGGACACACCTTGATATACTGCACAAATGGCATGAGTTTCTTCATATGGGTCTTCAGGAGATCTTCCTTTTTTAGTACCTCAGAAATCACTTTGTTTTCTGGAAGACTGTTCTCTGCCTGAAAAGATAAATGAACACACTTTATAATCCATCCTCTTGCATATATAGTAAGATGGCTGAACAGCAAAAGCGCACAAAGAGCAAATAACTCTGTTTGACTGCCTTTGTTTCTAGTGTGTATGATAATTTGTGGTGCCCCTATGATTCAAACCTTGTTAAGAAGCTCCCTGAGTTTCGTGAGGGCAAGTTTCTGCCAGGGAGGGTACTCCTGGGCCACGTACACCACTCCATACTCTGGACGAGGAGGCACCTTACCAGTGGATGACTTCTACACATGTGCGGAGAATAAAGAAACTTAGACACCACTCTTACACTGAAATTTTACTCGGTGCTTTCCAGAGTTTTGTGGTAAAGGTGGGTTTAGCTACGTATATGGCTACTTCAGAGTGGCAACACTAATGTTAGCAGCTAGAGTCCGGTAAATAAACCTTTCATTGCATTCAAGGCATAAGTGGTAAGTGTAATTTGTGATCGCAAGGAAGCTTAAAACCCATGTTATCACTGCATGACGCGGACAGACCCAGAACACAAAAAGTTGTGAGGGAATGTAGCTACTCAATAAAGTTGCCATTTCTGGCGATTCGCATATTATAGTAAAACCAAAAAATGCCTTAGCTCGCAAATGACTATACAGTCAATTGCACTGAACCTTCTCACGAATGTCCATCATCTTCCTGAGGCGAACTCTAAACTCGTGAGCAGTGGTGAGGAGGTAGTCTCCCTCCTTCAGTAGAGTCTCATTCACTTCTCCCTCCAGAGATGGCCACCTGGCCTCCATGATACTACCTTCCTGCAGAGACACACAGGCTAGCTATGTGGCTCATGGTTTTAGCTAAAGCAGGGGAGGCACACACCCACCTTACTTCCTCTTGTTACCCTACCTTCTTTACTGAGGTCTATGGGTGTATATATGCTTAGCAAAAATGGGTGTGATACATAGACTGGTTTGGAGTTAATGTGTGGTGTATATAAGTTCAGTCCCCTCCTCCTACTTCAAGTTTGTACTGACTAAAGCCGTGTGGCTCACCCACATAGTGATTTCATAGATGATATTACTGGTTAGTTCGTCCCTTAGTGTGCATCCAGTGGAGTGTCAGTACTTGGTATATGAGAGTATTTAATCTTCCGACACTACAGGCTATACACATATATATGTAAATAAGCAGCCAAACAACAGTTGCAGTACAACTATGTTACGTATGTATCTTACATTTCCCAGGAGAGCCCAAATGTGCTCAGAGATATGAGGACAGATGGGACAGAGCAGCAGTGCCTGCACCTGTTGGGACAGGGAAGTCAAAGAGACTCAGATCAGAGATTTAGGAAACCCAATGAGCCGTATCTCAGTAAATAACCACGAAAGAAGCATTTGATCACTGCTTTAGGGTGAAGAAGATGAGAATTCCTTAGGTCCTAGATGTTAGCAAATAGGGGGAGGGGGCATATGTCCTTGTTTCCTGTTGTTGGATCTGCTACTATTGTGTCAGACAGCACTCACACGTGCATTTTCTAGAAAATATTGTGAGTTAGTTCTCTGTGTGTTTGGCTACAGGTATATACAATCCACTACACAGTGTGTATGTGTGTGTGTGGCTGACCTCGATGAATCTCCTGATCAGGTTCCAGTTCATACCTCCACTGGGAGCTGTGAGGTCTCTGTAGCTGTCCCGAGCTGCCTGCACACACACACACCAACAGACGTTAGAGAGAACGGTGCTTATTGGGAAGGTATAGAGAACTAAAGAGCCAAAACAGGTTTTTAAACCCCTCACATTGCCAAGGTATCAGGCCGTGCTGAATAAAATTGTTTTATGGCTGTTTCTTCTTTTAGCAACATAACACTCCTTTGGGGGGACAGCGAAATTTGGGTAAGATAGGAATGGTGCAGCAAGACGGAGTATGTTGCTATTCTATACTCCAACTGTAGTCAAAGTATTAAGGATAGTTTGTTTGTCTCTTATTATAGTCCTGTTCCTACAAAAAAAAAAAGCAAAATTGTTGACACCCTAATTTGGTGGGGACATTGAAATTTGGGCAAGATAGAAATGGGTGCAGCGAGATAGCAGATGTCACCATTCCATACTCCAACACTAGTCAAAGTATTAAAGATAGTTGGTTTGTCTCTTCTTACACTCACGTGCCTACAAAAAATGCAATCATTGATACCCATATTGGGGGGACAGTAAAATATGGGCAAGATAGGAAGAGATAGAAGATGTTACTATTCCATACTCCAACTATAGTCGAAGTATTAAGGATAGTTGGTTTGTCTCTTCTTACACTCACGTGCCTACAAAAAATGCTACCCATATTGGGGGGACAGGAAAATATGGGCAAGATAGGAAGAGATAGAAGATGTTACTATTCCATACTCCAACTATAGTCGAAGTATTAAGGATAGTTGGTTTGTCTCTTCTTACACTCACGTGCCTACAAAAAATGCTACCCATATTGGGGGGACAGGAAAATATGGGCAAGATAGGAAGAGATAGAAGATGTTACTATTTCATACTTCAACTGAGTGTAGTCAAAGTGTATTAAGCAGCAAATGTGTCATTCCTGAGTTGTTGATATTATATGGCCATAGCTTGGTAGCATGCCTATTAGGAATCACGAGAATGATCCAAGTGTCAGGAAGCAGGTATTGCATTGCTAGTTTGTACCTACGCATCCTCACACAAAGAGTCGACATAATTCTCAGGTCATTGCTGAAAGAGGTGTCATTCATTGCTGACCTGGAGGTCATAGAAGCCTGTCTTTAGAGCCTCTCTGTACATGGTGTCGTGGTAGCTGGCGTCAGTGAGCTGGATGAGATGGTTTATTCTGTTGGCAAAGAGTCTGTCGTGGTAGGTGTAGTTGTCTGGAGGATCACAGCGCAGCTTGTCTCGACACTCCAGCATCTCCTGCAACACACACACAATGAACTTTGCCGTGGTACTACTCCAGACTAAGTTTTTTTGAGGCACAAAACATGTTGTTGGGCAGTCAATCCATAGTATGCCATAAGAACAGGTTACGGACGAGCTAAGAACAGTGGAAAATGCTGACATGCAGATTTCATCCAAAGTTAGTCTGAACCAACCGAACTTTGTATACCTCTTCTATCCACCTTCTATCATTTCTAACAATGCCTAGGGCCTTCACACAACCCCCATTGCTAGGTACCACATTACATGCCCACTCTTACATACCAAGAAACTCCTGTGGACTTTGTTAGCTAATATCACTCCCACTCGTCTTCCTCACACTTTTTTCATTCTCTTGCTAAAATTTGATGCTCACAGTGCACCTTTCATAATGTCAGCCATGCATAGTACAAGGGCCATAGACCATCCGAATATTTACTGCAGACAACGTACGCAACACATGGTTCTCTGCACGTTTTTCTAACGGCGCAACATTTGCTATGCGCATGCGCACCTTTTTCTCACTGCAAATGTTTATGCGGATGCGTAAGTTTTATAGTGAAACAGATACACACACACACACACCTTGACCCACTCCAGTTGAGAGTGAAGCCTCAGGAGGCCAGCGTCTGCCATTTCAAAGACAAAGTTGGCGTCTTCCAGTCCATCCCCTGCATCAGCTAGAGCCAGTCGAGTGCCTATAGCACACCCACAACACAGGCACACATGTCAACATTATGGTAATGAGATCATGTGGAACACAGCCAACTTTATGGCAATGAGAGCATGTGGAACACAGCCAACATTATGGCAATGAGAGCATGTGGAACACAGCCAATATTATGGCAATGAGAGCATGTGGAACACAGCCAACATTATGGCAATGAGAACATGTGGGGTTCACTGACCGTCGGCTGAGAATCTCTCCACAGACTGTTTTAGAGTAAGGAAGTTGCCAGTCGACTTTGACATCTGTAGCATAGAGTTTTATAACCTTAAAAATTGCTGAATAGTGGGAATTTCGAGGGAGAAAACTTCTGTGTTTCAGAAGCCAACGCGAATTTTGCAGGAAAAACTTTCACAGATCACTATAGTCCCGCAATACAAATATCCTTGCCTACAAAATTCCGTGGAGAAAACATTTGCAGATGGCTAATAAACCATGAAATTCGTCCCTACCTAGGTTATCACACCGTACACTTGGACAACTGAACCCACACCATAATGTGATACACACACAGAGAGAGAGCTATAGAGTGGAGACCTTCTCAGAGTTGAGGAGGAGATGTCCGTTGGCTCTGATGGCGTTGGGCCAGCGACATGGCTCCTGCCCAGCTCCCTCTCTGCCGGGCTGCGGCCAGATGGCCTGGTGGTTGTACAGGAAGTAGGTGAGGTGGTTCGGGATGAGGTCCTTGCCCGACACCCGCAGGTCCACCGGGTACCAGTAGCTGAACTCTCGACGCAACTTCCTACAGACATCAGTGTGTGTGCGTTGAATTCCCTTCAATGAAGTGTTTGAACTTGAGGGATTAATGGATACACAGACTGTCTGAAAGTGAGCGAATGCTTCATATGACAGTTACTGCACAGAATGCAACCTTTAATGCTCTTGGTGCTAATGGGGTGAAAAAGTGCACCACCATCTTCATGTATCAATGTGTAGCGCTTAGCCACGCAAGTGGTAGATTGCAAAGTGGGACCTAACCTTGCTTGGAACCAAAAGTGTCAAATAGTTCAGCGTAAATTTGAATCAGTCTTGTTCAAACCTGAGGGATTCAGGAGGGATGTCAGTTGTAGGGAGGTCTCCACCAAAGAACACGTAGTCCCATACTGCCACTGTCATCTGCTCTGGACTGCAAAGAGGGAGAGATTCTAGCTCGCTGGATACAGATCACATTCAATGCTTTTGGTAGCTTAGAACAATGTAGAGACACAAAGTGTCTCCGGCTTACAAATGCTGTTATACGTGAAATGGTTGTGTTGCTTTGAAAATGTTTTCCTCACACACTTCCTACTATACAATAGTAGTACACAGGTGCTACATATTCCGAGAGGCCCAGGGGTGGAGCCATTGACCACACCTCCCTGTAGCAGGTAGGCCACAGTGTAGTAGGACATGTAGATGGTGGAGTCGGAGAGAGACTCTATCATGAACTTTGGGTCCCACGGAATGAGGGTTCCTGTATACAGGTGTGTGTGTGTTACAGTGAACTAATGGGTGAGTGCGCAGCAAGCACAATGTATAAAATATAAAAAGGAGAGGGAAGGAAGGAAAGAGAGGGGAGAGATGGAGTGAGGGAGGAGGCGAGGAGAGAAGGAGGAGGGAAGGAGAGGGAGCTAGAAAGGAGGGTAGTCGGAAGCAAGAGAGGGAAAGGAGAGGAGGAAGTACAAAAGAGAGTCACTGACCAGGCCAAAGACTCTCTGGAACAGGCATGTTCACGGAGCAGTCTAGAGTGGTCAGAAAGTGTTTGTTGTTTACTTCTCAGCATATCTGGAGAAGAGAAGACAGTTGTACACCCAAAAACTTGCGCACGCGATGGATACCAGGCACCAGAAGTGACCTACGGTCTGACCCTTTCATAGACATTCACAGTCTCTTCCGCCAGGCTCTCCATAGTCCAGATACCGGAAAACAAGGATATATAACCTCGTCTCTTAGCTTACCATGTAAGCAGTGAAACACTCGTAACTAACCCCCAAAGACAGTGGGGGGAGGGCGCTCAGGTCATAAGTGGTTAAACCTCTGATAAAAGACGGTGACAACCTCCTCAAGTGGCAACCAAGCAGTGCTTCCCCTTGCTACTACAATATACTGTTAAAACTATGTATGTACATGAGTGATGTATAAGTGTGCAAGCGCTGTGTGCTAAGTGCACGTGACGAAGAGGGACCAACCCACCAATGGTGGTGAGGCACGACACACTGGTCTCCTGAGCGAGTGGTGACACTCCTCTCAGGTTCTGGTAGAGGACAGCCTCTCGCTGGCCACCATGTCTCCCTGGATCAGCTTCTTGGCCTCCTGCACCTTCTTCCCCGAGTGAGGCCCCACTAGCAGAACCTGTACATTACAGTAGTGAGTGCTGACTTTGATATGCATCATCATAATGCATTTCTCTCTTCTGGAGCACAAGTCTTGGATGCATGTGGAATAACTTCTTTGGCTGGGCTATCAATATACGGTTTACTTGTGGCCTCCCGCTAGTGGATCTCAGAGAGTCTGACACGGGCTAGCTACAATTGTAGATAGCATGCGGGAGTCGATACATGCCCTTCGTTGTGACTTCTTGTGCCTTCAAGATACACCAAGTGAGCGGACCGGTTGAGGTAAGCCTGTGCTAATTAGCATATAGGATTGTTCACTTTGTTTTCTCACCATAACTTTCGAACGCAGCATTTTTACCAAAATCGCCATTTTAAAAATAAAGTCAGTGTGGCACTGAACCCGTTGGTATCGCTTTTTTACTGTTTTGTTGAGCGCAGCGGCAGAAAACAAGGTAACAGACAGACGGACGGAATAACAAACCAAGTACTATAACCCTCGCTGCAAATGCGCACCAAGAGCTAATTACTCCCTTCCTTTCTCACTTACCCCCTCATAGAATCCCTTGAGGTAGGTCATCTCCTTTGCCTTCTCAAGTTGAGATTTGTCATTCTGTGATGACACCTAAAAATTGGGCAAATTATTTTATCTTAGGCTTTGTACACTGGCCCCAACGAGACAATTAAACTTTTGTGACATTTTTTGGTTTAATCTTAGGTTTTTCATGTTTTTTTAAACTACATACATGTTCGCAAAGCTTTATTGATGATATGGTGCTTTTACAAGATTGGTTAAATTGAGGTTTTCTACCCACACAGTATGCTAAAAGACATTGGTAGTGTGTACATACCTTGAACTGGTCACAGGCAGTGACGGCAGAGAGATTGCCAATTCCTGGAATATCAATAATGGGGACCTGCAGTCAGAGATTGCAGCAGTAATCACAGGGTTTCACCCTCACCCATTTATGTGTTGTACATATGAAATACTGCTCATGGCTTACTGGTTTGTAGGGCAGAACCATTTCATCAGTTATGCCAAACTTGTCACGAAGAGCCTGCACATTACGATGGTAAGAAACATGACTGGTGTTTGCAAAGAGTCGGCGTATGACATTGCACCCACATCAATGGTGGTGGATAAAGAATAAGAATGAACACATTATACATACATGTATATACTACCTTCTTCTTTTGGACATCTCTAAGAGCAGCGTAGTCATCTGGGGCATCAGAGGGTACAGAGGTCACCACTCCAGTGCCTGTAGAGAGAAGAGGAGTAATGGAGCAAGTCTTCGTACATATTGAGATTATGACCTTTGTCCTCCTTGATGGTGAGCATTGGTAGAGTATAGATGACATCATATGATGTCAGAGGTGCTTTCAAAGCCACACCCATAAGCTCCTGGAGAAAAAGCGTTTAGAACTAAGTACATACCTACAACTGGAATGTTTGGTATAGTGCACTAGTAAGAATACAGTAAAACCCCTCTAATCCAAACACAAATATGACGGAACAAAGTGTCCATATTAGTGAGGTGTCCTTATTTCATCCCATGCACTCTTCTTGTGGAAAAATAGTATCCTTATTGAAGGCTGCATCCTCATTTCAGGGGTGTGATAGAGCGGGGTTCCAAACCCTTGCTCTATCCATAACGCACTGATCCTACATGTATAGCTCTATATACCTCTCCCTTCAGATGCAGCAGGACTTGAGTTTTGCCATACTCGGAGGTGAAGTCCTGGTAGGCCATGTTGAGGGCAGCTCTGGTGGTGGATATGAACACCTCTCCTGTCTTGACGGGGAAGGCTATGTAGTTGATGTCTGGATGTAGCCAGCAGTTGGTCTGTCCGTACATTGTCTCAGGTCTCAGAGTGGCTGCCACCAGGAACACCGGGTGACCTGCCAGGGAGCTGGGGAGGCAGAGGGAGGGAGGAGAAATCGACGAAAGGAGGGAGGGATAGGACAAGAGAGAGGGAGAAGAAGAGAGGTGGGTAGAACATTGTGTATTGGTGTGGAACAAGCTTTTGTTTCTGATTTCATATGGGACAAAATTGTATGTGAACATGCAGACAGGTGAGTTAAATTCAGTGCAAACTGTGAAACTGGTTCAACCTAATGAAGCTTTAAATGTAAATGGTAGAGAAAAGCAGAGAAGGACGGAAGTATAATACACCATGCTGGTACAGAAAGTAAATCTATGGCAGGGATAGAGATAAATGGAAAAGTGAAGACAAGAGTCTAAAGCACTCAACACAGTATGTAGTATGTAGTGGGAAAAAGCTAAGAAGTGAAAATGGGTAAACACCTGAGGCTCTTGGGAAGAGGCTCCACCACTTTCATCTTGATGAGAGTGTACTCCTGTGGCCCCACCCCTTCACCAGTGGCTCTGTCGTGGTCCATACTGGGCTGGCCCTCCAGTGGAGAGAATATGGTGTGCCTGGGCAGTGGGTGCACATGCTTTAGAACCCTTTGGATACCATGGGTATCTCCTTTAATATGTGTAAAGTATTAGTAAGTATTACACATGTCGTTGTCTGAAGAGATCGTACGCATTCAGAACCTCCACGGAAGAGACAGACAAGCCTTTGCGGAAGTTATCTCTGAATGCTTATGGACTATTGGAAAGCCTTGGGAATAATTTATCTGTTTGTACTGGTGTATACTTACTCTGTGGCACACAATATTAACCCCCCTCTTAATGTAGAGTGAATAGGGAAGGGATGGTGTATCAGTGAGCTGAGGGACTGTAATATGCTGCGAGTTAGTGTCACACCTTTTGCCAAACTTGATCTTTTTCCTCTCCTTGAGTTTGGTGAACTGCCACCTCACAAAGGAGTCGTAGTAGGGGTTGGCATCAGTTGTGATGAACGACCGTCTCCAGTCAACCTACACACACACCACCATCACCATCATCAGTAGGTGACACACTAGAGATCTCCAAAATGTGTGTATAATTATTATACAGGTTGAGGACTGACCCTAACTCCAAGTGACTTGAGGTCTTCCTTAGCAAGAGGAGGGAAGTACTCCAGCCAATGTTGAGGATCTGTGAACCTGATCATTTGAGACACATGTATACACAAAGTCAAACACACACACACACACACATCTCCCACTCCTTTGTCAGGTAAATCCACCTACTTCCGTATGTCATGGTCATTGATCCCCAGACTCCTCATGATGTCCCACTGGTAGGTCATGTTCCCCGTCTTGGCCGCCACTTTACTCTTAGT